TGCCCCTGCCCCTGCCCTTCCCGTCTTCCAGAGAGCGCTGAACGCCTACTTCGACCCGCCGATGGAGAAGGAGGAGGCGGCAGGCGCGGTGCCGCCGGCCCGGGAGGGGACCGGGAGCTGGTAGGTGACCCCCGGAGGTGTCTCTGTGTCCGTACCAAACTGGCAGCACCTTTTTCTTTTCTAACCTATATTTGCACTGTGGGCTCTGTCTTGAGCTGTTGTATGCAGGATGTGTTGGGAAGGAGGACTATTTGGCGACCTCCCAGCCAGGGGGGGATCACTGCTGACCACACAGACTTTTGTATTTCACCTCATAGTCCTTCAGGTGACAGGATAATTATAAAAAGTCATCATGGAAATACTAGAGGCATATGTCATGTTACTTACCTGCTTAAGTGTCACTTAGCTTCCTCTCCTTTGCTTGCTTGTCTTCTGTTCAGTTTAGGTTACATGTGCATGATAGCCAAGTCTTACATTGTTTGTGCAGCACCAAGTACAAAACCAGTACTAAGTTTCAGGGAACAACTTTGGTTTGGTTCCAGGCCTTTTTTTTTTTTTTTTTTTTCACGTGTGCATCCAAATCCTGTGTTTAAAACCAAACTTAGTATCCCAGCTTTGTCCAAATACAGTTTGTCTAGTCTTAGTTTTACTATTAAATGTATTTTATTACAAAGTTTCCCTTTACTCAAGGAATTTACACTGGACCAGTGTTGTGGTTTAACCCTGGTGGGCAGCTCAGCCCCACACAGCCACTTACTCTCCCCAGTGAGAGGTGGGAGGGAATTGGAAGGGTAAAAGTGAGAAAGCTTACAAGCTGAGGTAAAGACAGCGTAATAGGTAAAGCAAAAGCTGTGCACAAGCAAAGCAAACCAAGGAATTCATTCCCCACTTCCTATCGGCAGGCAGGTGGTCAGTCATCTCCAGGAGAGCTGGGCTCCACCACACCTAACAGTGACTTGAGAAGACAAACCCCATCACTCCAAACATCTCCCCTTCCTTCTTCCTCCAGCGTTACGTGCTGAGCCTGACATTGTGTGTTATGGAACATCCCTTTGGCCAGCTGCGGAGGCAGGAGCAGAGAAGGTCTTGACGCCCTGTGACATACTGTAACTGTCCTCAGGGAGTTACTCTAGGCTGGGCACTCACACTGGGCAGTGTTGTTTAGCCTTTATCAGATCAACAGCATAGACAGGGCCAGTGTTTTTGAGGTGGGATTTGGGGTGAATATTCCAAACAAAAAGGACTAACAGTTTGTCACATAGTGAGTTTGCACGTGTGCCTCCCCAGGGGGTTCAGCATTTAGAAGACTTTCAGCTGCACTACAAATGTGGGCACATGAAAGCAAGTCCTGGTTGCAGTTCTTTGTTTTTAACATGCTGGAAAGTGTTTGTAAAGCTGGTATGCACAGCCAGCCTCTAGCAGGTTGAGACAATACTCTTCTGACCAACTCTTACAATGGGGAAAGTGATGAATTACTTGAGTGCTTTGGGTTACATTGGTCACTGTCTAAGTTAAACCAGAATAGGAAATGTTATTTTGCATCTGTAAGGAGGAGGAAAACCCACTTAATTCACCAGTGTGGTTGAGGCTTTGTGTGACTGAGGTCAGTATGTTTTATTTACTGCATTTTTAAGTTATATTGAGATCAATGCATATTAACTTATTTGTTGGGAAAGTTTTACATGGCCACCTGTGGGTTGCAATGAGTCTAAAACATTTTCCTTTAGAAGATAAAGGGGATAATTGCAGGAAGAACAGTATTATGCATGTTGACAAACAAACTCTCTCTTTAGTATTGATCTCACAGCTGATGCAACTACTAGTAACACCAGTGGCAACAGTGCAGACTTGAAGAAACAAGAAGATGACAGCAGTTTCTCACTGATAACCTGGAACATTGACGGGCTGGATCTACGGAATCTAAAAGAACGAGCTAGAGGAATCTGTTCTTACCTGGCTTTGTAAGTATAGCTTCATCTTTGTATTGCCAGCTACCCAGCTTTTAAGGGAAAGCAAGCTTCTTGTTTTAGATGTTTACAAGTCTTCACACCCAAATTATCTTAATGTTAGATGCAACAATACAGTCACTTTCTAAATCCTAAATAGCTGAATAGAAGTTGATATACTGGTTGAAAGAGGTGCCAACATTTGCAGCATCCCAAAGGTTAAATATTTTGCGACAGCTACTTCAAAAAGCACTTTTAGTGTGAACAATATTGCAGTCACACATCAAGAGCATACTTCATACTTTCACCCTGTGTAAGAGAGAAGGGTAAAACTGCAAGAAACTTTTTTGTCTCATTCCAGCAGTATGAATAACTTCATGCTAGAGCAAACTGTTTGAAACAAAGAAAAGGTGAAATGTGAAAAGTGTCTCTCTTGCCATTACTGTTAGTTGTTTATTAAAAAATAAAATGTGCAAGGCAAGGCAATATGTGATTACTTTTTATAGTTCCACTAGTGTAACTGTTTTACACTAGTGTAAATTAAATCCTGCAGGGATCTGTTGTAAGGGAATGACGTGGTGGTTGAGGTCTCGTGGAGAACTTGGATCTTGCAGAACATGTTCCAAAGCTGCTTTGCAGCTGCTTAAGTTGAATTCCTAGTGTATGTAGTACATGAAACCTGTGCAAATGTTTGCATGATCAAGGTATAAGGGAGTCGTGCATTTTATTACCATATCAGTTCCGTGTCCATAATAATCGTTGTTTCATCCCTTTTAACAATGGTGTTGTGTCCTCCTGCTACTAAATATGGTGGAGAGAGTTTATCTTTTTAAAAAGCAGATTCTTACAATATCTAGGCATAGGAGGAGAAGGGGCACCCTGAAATCCCTGACCCTGTTCCATTTGGCCTCAGAGTGTAATAATACTACCTTTCAGTAGTTTATATATAATCTTGTCTTGCCAATTTCAGATATAGTCCAGATGTTGTGTTTTTACAAGAGGTCATCCCACCACATCTTGGTCTTCTACAGATGAGAGCAGGCAGTTACACTATTATTCCAGGTAAGAAATAATCCTCAGTTTCTAGAGACAGAAACTGGAAGAAGTAAGTTTGGTGTTATTCTGTCTCCCTTGCCATAATCTCTGACCATTTGTAAGATTGAAAAGAGTAAAGTGAAGAGGGATGCACTTAAATTACTTCCTGTGTTCTGATATCAGGATACAGTTTGATGCAAATTATGCATGTGGAAAGCTTGCTTGCCTGGTGGTTTCGTTTGTATTTTTTTCTGCCATTTGACGGACTGATAACAAGGGTAGCCAAAAAAAGTACCAGAGATAAGTAATTTCTTAAATATTTGCATTTTAAAAAAAATGTGAAAACTTTTACCTAATGACTTTGTACATCTTACAAATCAACATGATCCTCACAGCTCATGGGGAAGGGCCTCTTTCAAAACATTAACTTCCTTATGGCATGGTAGAAGATACCCTCGACCATTTCTTTCCCTGTTCCTCTTTAGGTAACGTAGATGGCTATTTCACTGCCATAATGTTGAAGAAATCAAGAGTGAAGCTACTGAAACACGAAATAATACCATTTCCAACAACCTCCATGATGAGGAACCTTTTGGTTGTGCATGTGAGTCACTGTGTACTGAACAGTTGTATTGCTGTCTGCCTTCAAAACAAAAATCCCATGGAAGGCTGGACTGGCTTTACTCTGTGACAGTCTCAAAGAGCAGAAAAACAACAGCAAATGTACAAACCTAGTTGCATTTGATACTGACAAACTTAGATCTTCTATGTAAGCTACTGGCTTTACTTGTTTTCAAGTCTCATAACCTCTGAAAGCAAAACTAAAAGCCTGTTATCCTCCTGTAAGCCACTTCTGTGCAGTGTAAAACCAACATTAACCAGAGCTCTGTCATTCAGTAATTGACTTTGTGATTAGATTTTGTCTTTAAACATCTTATCATGGTGTGGACAGTAACATTGCCTCTTTTTTTCATGCACAGGTGAGCATATCTGGCATAGAACTTTGCCTTATGACCTCTCATCTGGAGAGCACTAAAAATCACTCTAAGGAGCGTATAAAGCAACTGCAAATAGTGTTAAACAAAATGCAGGAGGAGTCCGAGTCCACCACGGTTATATTTGGAGGGGATACGAACCTCAGAGACAGTGAGGTAAACAGAAATAAGCAACTGTGTTATTTTGAGAAGGTATTCTGAAAAAATCTTTCCAGGCTTTTCTGTTATCTTTGTAAGCAAAAATTCTCAAAATGGAATTCTAAATTGATTCCTAAAAGTGGAAACACGACTTAACTAGAAGGTGGGCATGATTGTGCTGAGGCCTTGGTGCAGCTGAGGTGGTTGATGTGTACAGAATCACAGGATGGTTCGGGTTGGAAGGGACACTAAAGATCATCTGGTTCCAACCCCCCTCTCAGAGGCAGGAACCCCTTCCACTAAACCAGGTTGCTCAAAGCCCCATCCGACCTGCCCTTGAACACTTCCAGTGATGGAGCATCCACAGCTTCCCTGGGCAACCTGTTCCAGTGTCTCATAGTGAAGAACTTTTTCCTAATTTCTAATCTAAGTCTACCTCTTGATATGAAGAGCTCTCCTTCCACTCCACTTACAAAATGCTTTATTGGCAATATTTACATCTGAGACAGGACAGAGTTGTTGAAGTTCTGACTTCAAAAGCATATTCTAATTTTGAGAACCAAATCTTTACTTGCTCAGCTCTCTCATTCTCAGCGAGTGAACGGTTGTTGAATCACTAAGAGAGTGCTCTGGAGAAATAGATCTTAAGAGTTTAAAATTAATCCCCTATCATCAAGACATTCAAAATTAGAAGTCATTTTTGGCTGCTGATATTAGAAGTGAAATTTGGGACTTATTACTGAAAGGTTAGTGTTTCATCTTTCCCTGTCATGAAATTCCATGACAGCGAACTGGAACAACATTGTTTCAGAGACCATGATGTTGACAATATGTTGTTGACATTAACATGTTTTGGATTTAGAAAGTACTCCAGGAACTGGTCATGCTTTAGAGTATCCTGACAAACACCAGAGTTTAGTAGTGCCTCCAATATCCTCGTGTTTAACAACTCATGCTTTGCAGAAACAAGTGATGTTGTGACAACTCAGTTCTGTTTTTGAAAGCAAGATATATGAATTCCCTGTCTGTTGGATTTTCCCTCTCCCCCCCCCCCCCCACTTTCAGGTGGCTAAACTTGGTAAATTACCGAGCAGCATTATGGATATCTGGGAGTTTCTGGGCAAACCCCCACACTGCCGCTACACTTGGGACACCCACTCCAACTCCAACCTGGCTGTAGAGTACAAGTGCAAGATGAGGTTTGACCGAATTTACTTCCGGCCCGCAGCGGGTGGGGGCCACGTCATTCCCCGCAGTATGGACTTGGTCGGACTGGAAAAACTGGACTGTGGCAGGTTCCCTAGTGATCACTGGGGTCTTCTGTGTAACTTTGACGTGATACTATGAAGAAGAAAAATGGGTTGCCCTGTTGGGTTTTAGGTGACCTCTTCTTGTTTTTACAAAATTTTACCCGATCGGTTTAAGTAGGATGTATTTAAATGTTCAACCTTAACAGGTTCTCTGCTCTTGACTTATGCTGGAACAGCTTAATTTTAAGCCAAGTTGCCCTTTTCCTTATTGTATACGTCTGCCCTTGAATCACGTTTTAAAATATTTATTTTTAACTATTATCCAAATAAAACACCAAATTCTAGTTTTGAAATAGGAAAAACCTGTAAATGTGATTTAAAAGATGCTTTTATTTTGGCATGCATTATAATCTTTTAATAAATGCTACTCTTTATTTTGCCTACTTTGTTTCTTTTGTAACCATTTCCATTATCCTTTACAACTCTTGTGTTTTGTAGGGTGTTTTGTATTAGCTTCTGAAGTTTGTGTTGTATACACACCTTCATGGAAGACAGGAAAGGAGCTGAGAAAAAAAAGGGCTAAATTCTCACAGGATAAGAGTTTCTTAAACAAGAATGAAACTAATATTGAATGGATTTTTATAAAAATGTCATTTTATAGATGTGCAAAATATTAAGCTGATTTGAAACAGAAAGTCTTCCACCTTTCTGAGGTGAAGTCAGTGCACAGGCATGGAGGAGCAGCACAGACATGTCAGTGGTGCAGAGTGAGCAAAGAGACCGACAGCCTGAATTCCTTTACTGCTTCTTGTTGTTTGTATTTGGTCTTGAGCCCAAAGCCTACAAAAAGCTTGTGTTCTGCTGGACTTCTGTGGTAGGTTGGCCCAGGTTGGTAGCCAAGCTCCCACACAGCTCATTCCATCCCACCTTCCCCACTGAAGTGGGAAGAAGAAACAAAAACAGAAAAAAGAAAGCTTGTGGGTTGAGATAAAGACAGGGAGATCACTTACCAATTACCCTCACAGGTGAAACAGACTTGATTTGGAGAATCTAATTTATTTATAGATATCTAATTACTGATTCAGGTGTTCAGAAGCAAGCAGATGAATATTAAAATACACTTTCCCCCCCCACTTTCTCTGGCTTGATGTTACTTGAGGCTCCTCTCCTCCCTCTTGTTACCAGTGCAGGTCATACTGTCCCTCCAGCAGGGTGAGGAGCAGCCCAGGACATGGTTATGGTCTGTTGGCACACAAACATGCCCCTTGGCCATGCCCTCCCTTTCCCACTTTTGTGCTGCTGGGTGGGTCCTCCATGGGCATAAGCTGTATGTGCTCTGTCATGGAGCACCTCCTCTACCTCTGACCTTGGTGTTTCCTCTGCTGTTTCTCAGCTCATGGTTTTTTTTTTTTTCCCCTTTCCTCCTCTGCCCGCCAACTGTTTTCTGCCCTTTCTTGCACAGCTTTCCCTGTGGCACCACCTGTGCCTTGTGTTGAGGCCACTGGAACTGGCTGTGTCCAGCATGAGACAGCCCCAGTCCTCCTCACTGAGGCCACCCTGCAGCCCCCTGCCAGCACCTGCACCGACTCCAGCTCTAAAAAAAGAGAAAAGCATCTTCTCACAGAGGCAGCCAATGGTGGACCCCCTGCAGCCCTGCCCACCCAGCAAGGAATACTCCACTGACTCCATTATTGCTTAGCCTAACACATCTGCCTGCATGCTCCAGCCAGCCAGGTGCAGGAGATGCCTAAACATTGCCCTTCCCACCTCTGTCTTGCACCCTGGAAACAATGAGTGGAACTTGATGTGATACTAGGAAGCAGAAGACAAATTTGTGGATCCCTACCATGAAATAGTTAGGACTCTCAGTGAGCTCCTTCTCATGCCAGGGTTGGGGAGGCCTGAGGTAAATGTTGAATCAGCAGAAACCCACAGGGACCGAGGTGACCCTACTAAACAAGCAAACAAACCTTGGGCAGTTAATTTGTCTCCATAGAAATCAGCTGCTGAGATCTCCAGTTCTGCTTTAAACATGAACCCTCAAATTCCTTTGACTAAAGGTAAAAGAGCCTGGTCTGTTTTGGGAATGATGTCCAGATCTTTGTGTCCTCTTCACACTCAGCATATCCCATTATTTTGTAGTTACTCAGCTACAAACAGAAGCAGGGAGAAGTCACTGATACACTTTTTTTTTTTAAAAAAAAAAAAAGCCCTCATGTTGGGCCTGTGATGTCTCTATTTCCACTATATTTATTCACTAGGAGGGTGGTGAGGCACTGGAACAGGTAGCACAGGGAAGCTGTGGATGCTTCATCACTGGATTCATTCAAAGCCAGGTCGGACGGTGCTTTGAGCAGCCTGGTTTAGATGGAGGTGTCCCTGCCCATGGCACAGGTGTTGGAACTAGATGATCTTTAGAGTGCCTCCCAACCCAAACCGTTTTACAGTTCTATGTTTCTATGAAATAAATAGTTCCATAAAAAAGTGAAAAGTGCCTACATCTGCCAGGATTTTCCTTCCAGGTGTAAAATGGGGCTGACTTGGTGCATGCTCTCTCACCAAAGCCTTTGAAGAAATGTCATGGGCTTTTTCTTCCTTTTCCCCCCCCCCCACACACTTACAACTCCTCTTCCTCCCCACTGGTTACAGCCCAAGGTTGGTGGGGAAGGTGAAGCCATTGATTAATGGTTTAACTCTCCTAAAGGTATCACAATATACTCGTGCTTCACAGCAGGAAACACCAATTTGTGTGGCCTCCTGTTTCATGGCTGCTTTTGTTTATGTGGCTGCATCTTCTGGACTATTTTGGAAGACACTGACAAAGACTGACTGCTGTTGTTCCAGAAAAGGCTTTTAATTTGGGAAAGAAAGAAAGAACAGGAAGTAAGAAAAAAAAAGACTCAGACCAATGTGTGATTTAGCTCAATGCCTGAGCTCCAGACCTGTCTGTAGAACTGATTAACTGATCACTCCTCTGATCAGCAGTCTTCCTTAAGATTTGAAATAGTGTGTGGGGACATAATATTTTTTTGTTAGGAAGAAGCAAAACCATAACACTTTGTAAGGGCAAATTTTTTTTTTTTTCATTTATAAAAGGCAAAAGGAAGACTATTCAGTGCAACTAGCAGTTAGTCATTCAGAGTGAGGAAGTCATGCATACAGCCTTTAAAACTCTTCTTGGATTACAGAAAATATGATAATAATTAAATTCAAGAAGACATAAATGCTAAACGTGTTATTGACTATTGGATGTGAAGCAACACATCTTTAATGAATTATACTTTAAACCACTTAATAAGGATCTAAATTGCTGGTAATCAAGAGCAGTCAGAGCCCTTAAATTAATTTGTCTCTTAATTTAATCAGTGATGTAAAAGGTAAAATATCTGCTGACTACAACAACTAAAACTTAAAGGGACAGAAACAACAAAGTTAAAGCAACCAAAAGATTTCTTGCCCTACAACTTGTAATTTGATCTATTTTCCTGAATCAGGACTTTATGATATCTATATTTAACAAAGGACTTGTGCAAACATGAATGTGAGAACAGACAATTCTCTCCTATTAATGATCAACAGCAACAATGGACCTTGTGGAAACCATCTGCTATTAGAATCATTAGTTTATGAGTACCTGGATTCAGATATCAAGAGAAGCAATTCCTTCCAAGGAGCCAGCCAGTCTTAAACATTCCTACATCAAAAGGGCATGAACTTACTAAAAGAGAAGAGTTACACTGAACAAAATTAAGAAATGTTAAACATCCAGGGAGTCTTCTGCAGACCACTTGCCCAATTTAGGAAGATCTTATCATTAATGGGCAGACAAACAGCTAAACTCCTCCCTCTGCTCTTAAATCATACACTAACAATCCAAGGTGCCACACTACAGGAGGAAGGAATAACTTAATACACTTGCTCACTGTGCAGGACGTGAAGAATGGAGCAAGCTGGCCAGGGATCCAAGCCATGGGAGATGGAATTAGCCAGGCCATGAGTCCAATTATGTAGTAAGGACTCATGTTTCTCTCCACCATCCTGGGAAGTCTGCTTGTTATACACAGTCAGGAAGCCTTTCTGAGAACCAAACACCCACACATAAACAAACCTCCCAACTCCCCTGCCAGTGGAGTCAGCTCTTAGAGGTGGCTTCTTGCCCCACTTCAAAGTTCACGTGGAAGGTGGGGGCACCTGGTGGTGATCTCCTCATCAGTTCCCATCCAAGGCTGGCCAGACCCTGGGTGAAAACCAATCAGGAGGGTCTTTCCAGCCTGGTTGTGGGCATCATCCATACACCAACTCTCATTCAGGGCTGGGGATTTAAACCCTAGCACTTCAAGGGAGGTAAATAATAAATGAGTGGATTACGAAAAAAGAAAGAAAATAGTAGCAGGCAAACCTACAGTAACAGCAGAAAATGACATTATCATGATTGAAAGTATATGCCTAAAGAATATATATACTCTTGACTATAAGGAGTAATCTGAAACTATAGCTAATAAAAATCTGTTTTCTGAAGAGGAAGTGCATGGAAGATTAAAGCTGTAAACATCACATATCATATACAGATTTGGAAGTCAATTTTATACAAGAACAGACAAGATCTATCCAAAATTACTAGATCAAAATACAAACTTCATAACCTGTATTGTGGCAACAGCTGCAGAGCCTATTGCTGTGGTTGTTGTACAGAAGATGAGAATAACTACACAGAAAGAGATGGGCTGTGTTTTGTTGAGCAAATGATGTGATTTTCAGTTTTATTAACTCAGCATGGCTGAAAAACTCCACAAAGGTCATGTTATTACTTCTGTGTATCTAAATGTGTTTTTACCCAGTGGCAGCCAGAATTGGGTACAA